CACAGCAGCACCCAGATCCTTCAAATATCTCAGTGAAAAAAATGAACAAACCTACCTCTAGCGCTCTGTGCAGGTTCAAAGACGCAAATGTTGGCACCACCGATCGGGAGGGGGCGTGGCTCAATGGCAGAGCATCTTTGTTGCGGGCAGAAGATCCCAGCCTCAGCCCTTACCATCTCCAGTGAAAAGGATCAGGCCGTAGGCGATGCGGGAGGGAAGGTGCCCTGGTATAGCCCAGTCGTGTCAGATCCTGGAAGGAAAGCGGGGTCGGTACTTGGAGGGGAGACCCCCCGAAGGAAGACTCTGCAGAGAAAGGCAATGGCCAAACACCTCCGCTTCTTCTCACTTGCCTTGAAAGCCCCTCACTGGGATCACCATAAGGCTTAGATAGGAGACCACCAGGGAAGACACTGCAGAGGAAGGCAATGGCCAACGACCTCCGCTTCTCACTTCCCTTGAAAGCCCTGCACCAGGATCACCATGAGTCTTGGACGAGAGACCACCAAGGAAGACTCTGCAGAAGAAGGCAATGGCAAACACCTCCGTTTCTGACTTGCCTTGAAAGCCCCTCACCAGGATCACCATATGTTTTGGACGAGAGACCACCAAGGAAGACTCTGCAGAAGAAAGCAATGGCCAAACACCTCCGCTTCTCACTTGCCTTGAAAGCCCCTCACCGGGATCACCATAAGTCTTGGACGAGAGACCACCAAGGAAGACTCTGCAGAAGAAAGCAATGGCCAAACACCTCCGCTTCTCACTTGCCTTGAAAGCCCCTCACCGGGATCACCATAAGTCTTGGACGAGAGACCACCAAGGAAGACTCTGCAGAAGAAAGCAATGGCCAAACACCTCCGCTTCTCACTTGCCTTGAAAGCCCCTCACCGGGATCACCATAAGTCTTGGACGAGAGACCACCAAGGAAGACTCTGCAGAAGAAAGCAATGGCCAAACACCTCCGCTTCTCACTTGCCTTGAAAGCCCCTCACCGGGATCACCATAAGTCTTGGACGAGAGACCACCAAGGAAGACTCTGCAGAAGAAAGCAATGGCCAAACACCTCCGCTTCTCACTTGCCTTGAAAGCCCCTCACCGGGATCACCATAAGTCTTGGACGAGAGACCACCAAGGAAGACTCTGCAGAAGAAAGCAATGGCCAAACACCTCCGCTTCTCACTTGCCTTGAAAGCCCCTCACCGGGATCACCATAAGTCTTGGACGAGAGACCACCAAGGAAGACTCTGCAGAAGAAAGCAATGGCCAAACACCTCCGCTTCTCACTTGCCTTGAAAGCCCCTCACCGGGATCACCATAAGTCTTGGACGAGAGACCACCAAGGAAGACTCTGCAGAAGAAAGCAATGGCCAAACACCTCCGCTTCTCACTTGCCTTGAAAGCCCCTCACCGGGATCACCATAAGTCTTGGACGAGAGACCACCAAGGAAGACTCTGCAGAAGAAAGCAATGGCCAAACACCTCCGCTTCTCACTTGCCTTGAAAGCCCCTCACCGGGATCACCATAAGTCTTGGACGAGAGACCACCAAGGAAGACTCTGCAGAAGAAAGCAATGGCCAAACACCTCCGCTTCTCACTTGCCTTGAAAGCCCCTCACCGGGATCACCATAAGTCTTGGACGAGAGACCACCAAGGAAGACTCTGCAGAAGAAAGCAATGGCCAAACACCTCCGCTTCTCACTTGCCTTGAAAGCCCCTCACCGGGATCACCATAAGTCTTGGACGAGAGACCACCAAGGAAGACTCTGCAGAAGAAAGCAATGGCCAAACACCTCCGCTTCTCACTTGCCTTGAAAGCCCCTCACCGGGATCACCATAAGTCTTGGACGAGAGACCACCAAGGAAGACTCTGCAGAAGAAAGCAATGGCCAAACACCTCCGCTTCTCACTTGCCTTGAAAGCCCCTCACCGGGATCACCATAAGTCTTGGACGAGAGACCACCAAGGAAGACTCTGCAGAAGAAAGCAATGGCCAAACACCTCCGCTTCTCACTTGCCTTGAAAGCCCCTCACCGGGATCACCATAAGTCTTGGACGAGAGACCACCAAGGAAGACTCTGCAGAAGAAAGCAATGGCCAAACACCTCCGCTTCTCACTTGCCTTGAAAGCCCCTCACCGGGATCACCATAAGTCTTGGACGAGAGACCACCAAGGAAGACTCTGTGGAGGAAGGCAATGGCAAACCCCCTCCGCTTCTCACTTCCCTTGAAAGTCCTGCACCAGGATCACCATGAGGCTTGGATGAGAGACCACCAAGGAAGGCTCTGTGGAGGAAAGCAACGACAAATCACCTCCGCTTCTCACTTCGCTTGAAAGCCCTGCACCAGGATCACCATGAGGCTTGGATGAGAGACCACCAAGGAAAACTCTGCAGAAGAAAGCAATGGCCAAACACCTCCGCTTCTCACTTGCCTTGAAAGCCCCTCACCGGGATCACCATAAGTTTTGGACGAGAGACCACCAAGGAGGACTCTGCAGAGGAAGACAATGGCCAACCACCTCTGCTTCTTGCTTGCCCTGAAAGCCCCTTGTTGGGGTCGCCATAAGCTGGTTGCAACTTGAGGGCACTTACTTGTGCAGGTAACAGGTGGTGTGAAATCCCTTGATCCGAGACCCTGGAGAGCCTCTGTCAGTCAGAGGTAGACAGCACTGACCATGACTTAGGACTTGGGAAACACCTGGAGAATTTGGGGGTGGAGCCTGAGGAAGGCGGGGTTTGGGGAGGGGAGGGACTTCGATGGGCTATAACGCCATCGGGTCCATCTTCCAAAGCAGCCATTTCCCCTCGGTGAGCCGATCTCTGTCCAAGGGTTGCCAGGGCTTTTTTTGTAGAAAAAGCCCAGCAGGAACTCATTAGCATAATAGGCCACACCCAACAGCAGACGCTCATTAGCCTATTAGGCCACACCCTTGACAGCACAGCACATTAGCCTATTAGGCCGCACCCCCATGTTGTCAGAAGTGTGGTCATCCAGCCACACACCCCTTTTGCTTCGTATTCTGTTTACCTTGTTGTCAAAACCCTGGGCCTTTTTTTGTAGCAGGAACTCCTTTGCATGTTAGGCCACCCCCCCCCTAATGTAGCCAATCCTAATGAGTTTCTGCTGTTGGGTGTGGCCTATTATGCTAATGAGTTCCTGCTGGGCGTGGCCAACTTGGGAGCCAGACGGAACTCTGTTCCTGTGCGTTCCTGCCCAAAAATAGCCCTGAGGGTTGCCAACTCCAGGTTGGGAAATACCTGGAGATTTAGGGAGAGGAGGCTGAGGAGGGTGGGGTGTGGGAAAGGGGCAGGGCTTCAGCGGGCTATAATTCCATAAGGTCCACCTCCAAAAGCAGCTGTTCTCTCCAGGAGATCAGTTGTAATCCCGGGAGACCCCCAGTCACCCCCTGGTGACTGGCATCCTGCCCTTGTGGCCTTAAGAGCTAGATATCTACATCCTTCCATGCCCCACTTGAATGCCGGTTCTTTGAGAATACAAGGGATCACTATATTAAGCCTTTACTCAACCAACTGCCCCCCTGGACTCCGGAAACCCCGGCTCTCTTGCTCAGCCATACTGAGGATCCTAAGTTTATTCTCTAGCAGCTGCAAAATTTGTCGCATTCTGTAAATTTATTCTCAACCTCTTGACCCACCTACCTGTTGTTGTTGTTGTTCAGTCACACAGTCGAGTCCGACTCTTCGCGACCCCATGGACCAGATCACGCCAGGCCCTCCGGTTTTCCGCCGTCCTCTGAAGTTGGCTCAATTTCATGTTCGTTGCATCTTTGACACTGTCTAACCATCTCATCCTTTGCCGTCCCCGTCTTCTTTGACCTTCAATCTTTCCCAGCATCATGGTCTTCTCCAGTGAGTGCTCCCTTCTCATTTGGGGGCCAAAGGATTTCAGCTTCAGTTTCATTATCTGGCCTTCCAGGGAACAGTCAGGGTTGATTTCTTTTAGGATTGACTGATTTGATCTCCTTGCAGTCCAGGGGACTCTCAACCATTGCTTTGACCATGCGGACTTTTGTTGGCAGGGTGATGTCTCTACTTTTTATCATGCTGTTTAGGTTCGCCATCGCTTTCCTCCCAAGGAGCAGGCGTCTTTTAATTTCCGTCCCAAAAACAATCCTATTGGTTGCATGTGGGAAAGGGAGGTTTACCTAAGAGGGGTGGCCAATATTGTAACCTAAAGCCTTACCCAGTTCCATGGATAACCAAATGTCCATATGGCAGGAAATCCCAGCTCAGAAACAAAGCAGGTGATGGGTGGTTGGTGACTACAAGCAACTTTGACATGGGGCCTGTCTCTTCCTAGAGTTGTTGTTTCATTGCTCACAATAATGGAGGTTTGTGCTTCTTCACCAGGCTGGGCAACCGTGTAGCTGAAACCTTATTTACATGTAAGGTATGTGCAGGCGCCCTCTATGCGTGGCATCACAACAGGTGACCTAAAGGGTACAGCTTTCTGAGCCTATGTGTGTGTGTGCACAGTCCCTATTTATCTACTTGCAATTTTTCTTGCTTGAACTGCTAGGTTGGCAGGAGCTGGAACTAGAGACGGGAGCTCACTCCGTCATGCGGCAACTCGGGTCTCGAACTGCTGAACTACCGACCTCCCACAGCCTGCAGTTCAGCGTCTTAACCACTTGAGCCACCGCAGCTTGTGTGTGTGTGTGCGTGTGTGTGTGTAGATGTATATATACAAATACACACAGAGGCATACATATATGTATATACACACAACATATATATACATGTGTGTTTATGGGCATGTGCAGAGTGTCATGCAAAACCTATATATCTAGATCTCTCTCTCTCTGTGTAAAAGGTTTGCATGGCACTCTGCACATGCCCAGGAGCCGCCACGCCTCTCCTCCCCGGGCCAGGAGGCAGGAGACGAGGAAGTGACGGGGGAAGCTCGCCAAAGGACAGGCCCCCTCGAACAGGAAGCTGCAGCGCCAGAGCCGGCCCTCCTCCTCCTCCTCCTCCTCGTCGGGACGCGCCGCCCCGCGGGGGAACTCCAGGCTCGCAAACATCACCGGGCATTTCCGCCTCGCTCCAACATGGAAGCGGCCCCTTGACTGCGGAGCGGCGGCGGCGCACTCAGCCCGGCTGGCGATGGGAACGAGGCCGCGGCGGCGGCGGCGGCAGCGCCGGATCCCCGGTAGGAGGGCCCGCCGAGGGGGCGGGGAGTGGGGAGGCGAG